TATATCTCTATAATAATCTATAAAACTTATAGTATATAGTATTTATAACCTAATAAAGGCTTCTAGGATACTTCTATAGCGCTAGCTATTCTAGGTATAGCGTAATAAGAGATAGAAGTTCGAAAAATATCTTCTTTAGAGTTTTCTCTTCTAACTATATATATATATAGTTAATCTAGCTATATAAACTTATTATTTTATAAATTATAGTAGGCTTTAACTATATAGAGCTTATTAACTAATAATATAGTAGCTTTAAGTAGTTATTTAAAAGTAAAGCCTTTTTAGTAGTATAGTATAGAAAGATAGAAAGATACTAAAACTATCTTAAAATTATTACTTCTAAATATATAGAAGGCTTATAGTATATATAATCTTATAATATATAACTTTATATAGCTAGATTATTTATATATATATATAGTTAGAGAAGAAAACTCTAGAAAGACTTTTTATAAACTTCTATCTCTTATTACGCTATACCTAGAAGAGTTAGCGCTATAGAAGTTTTCTAGAACTCTTTATTAGGTTATAGATACTATATACTATAAGTTTTATAGATTATTATAGAGATATAATAGTACTAACTAGAAGTAAACTAGATTTTTTCTAAAAGTTAGTTAAATACGTATAGCTTTTTAATTACGTAATATATCTTAGTGCAACTTTAACGTAAGGTGTAATATGCTATAAAGAATATATATATAAATTTTTATAGAAAAATATTAAGGTTTCGCTTAGTTATTTAAGAAAAACGGGTTAGTTTTTGTTAATTTTCGTTGCCAAGAAATCGTGGGGGGTTCGATGATATAGAGGGTTCGATAATAAAGTACGTTATACTATAAGTTTTATATATTATTATAGAGATATAATACTACTTACTAGAAGTAAAGTAGATTTTTTCTTAAAAGTTAGTTTAATACGTATAGCTTTTTAATTACGTAATATATCTTAGTGCAACTTTACTATAAGTTGTAATATACTATAAAGAATATATATATAAATTTTTATAGAAAAATATTAAGGTTTCGCCTAGTTATTTAAGAAAAACGAGTTAATTTTCGTTGATTTTCCTTGCCAAGAGAAAGGTGGTCGGCTCGATGATATGGTCGGTTCGATAATAAAGTACGTTAAGGTTTTACTTAGTTATTTAAGAAAAACAGGTTGATTTTTGTTAATTTTCGTTGCCAAGAAATCGTGGTCGGCTCGATGATATGGTCGGCTCGATGATATGGTCGGCTCGATAATAAAGTACGTTATTGCTCTTAATTTACCTTAGCCTTTATAGATAAGCTCTACAAGTAGCTTCCCCCCATTACTGCCCCTTTCCGCGGACCCAGCAGCTGTCCAGCGTCAGGCGAAAAGTGTTGATCAAGCACACCCTCAATATCCTCAGCATTTCCGTCTCTCGATTCTGCATTGCCCGTAACGCGTGCTCTAGTGGGCAATCCATCTCTCTCGATGCCTAGGCGCGGCAAGGGATGGCGCTCTATTATCGCCGGAAGCCTTTCGTCGGCGGCAGAGCCAGTGTACCATTGCTGGGGAAGAAGGTCGAGAACGATGCGGATTGGGTCACCTCGGCGGTGAGGTAGGTAAACGGATGGGGCGATGTTGTTCATCCCAGACCAGCGCGGTAATCTGACTAATCCGTGCATTAAGCCGCGATGATGGAGCGAGATAGATTCAGGTGTATAGGCTACCTCCAGTTGATGCTGGGGGCTGCGAATTAACGCCTCTGATTGGGGTACAGCGTCGATCCGAGTAACATCGGCCGAGCAGGACGGGGGTCCAGTTCGAACCACAACAACGTCACTACTTTCCCCTGCAAGACTGTCATTGCTTCCAGTCAAGCCTTCTAGCAGGTGATTAGGCACAGGCTTGATCTGCGGAGGTATGCCTCGCCGCTTGAATACGATCATGTTGCCGCAGCTTGCGAAACGGATCTTCTTCGCATGGATGAATTCCGGTCGCGATCGGACGGTAGGATTCTCTATCTAAAGGTTAGCATGTCAACGGATAGCTTCGATTGTAGCTTCTAGGGAAGTATACCATGTCCAAATGCCCACAGAAAGGTCAAGCCGTTGCATGAGAAAGACAGCAGAGGCAAGCAAGGGTGAAACGATGCACTGGGTCCGACATCGTTCGTTAGTTGGGCGAACGCCTGCTGTCTCATATGGTGGACATAGCCAACCGTAAGCCCCTTCGAGAGGTCTACGTTGAATATTACGAACGCACTCTCCTCTGCAGATTCGTCAACAAAGAAGAAATACCGGCTACAAGGACTGAATTGGAGCCAATACGTGTATGGAGTGAGTTGTTGGTTTGGCGAAGAAGCGTAATGACTGGACGACCACCATGCTGATAGAGGAGCATCGAAATCCACAGGGAACAAAGAAGTCGAGATCTCAGGATGATCAACATTGTCTAGAGCTATGACTTGGCGTAACATCGGGAGAATGGTGTAGATGGTTGGCGGCTACACCTGGGGCTTGCTCGACGGTTCGCCGTCGCCGCAGCAAGCGTAGGTTCGAATCCTGCTTCTCTCACAACTTTCGCCTTCAACGCTGCAGAATTTTCATTGCTGGACAAGGATCCTTCTCCATTGGGAAAGGACATGCAGGATCAACATTGATGAGGGGTAGCGGCCCACTTCCTTTTCAAATGCAGTTTCAGTTTGAAGATCATAGGCAAAAAGAGGGAGGTTTTTCATCACTTCGCGTGGTTTTCCTTCATCTGCCCTGCAGGAAGAATTGTGGAATAATTGCATAGCTCTCAGAGCCAGGTCAATTCAATGAGTTCAAGTCAAGTCAAGGCGTAACACGACGTATACGCGCACATTCGAGGCAATCGCGACGGGAAATCGAGTCCTCTGTGTGTATGGGTTGAGATACAAGTGGTGCTCTATCATATCCTCGTTTAGAGGTATCCTAATATCAGAAACTAGTACCGGGGGACTATCCGTGGACTGTATCTGGTCGTCCAGTCTTTGGAAAGTGTGGCAATGTCTTGGACAGCTAATTTTTGCACAGATCTCGCTTTGATCTGGAAAGCCCTATTTCATTCCGTCAGTTGCTGTGGCCAGGGCACTATGGCTTCCTTGAGGTGGGGAGAGCAAGGCATAGCAAACGCGCAACATACCGTGAAGGCCAGATGCTAAGCGCGCTGACGTATTTTCCATCGGCGCTAGTTTGTGAAATTCGGACAAGAGATTTAATGGCCTCATTCCCTCGCCCATCGAGCGGCTGGAGACCCCAAGTGTGGACCGTAAACATCGGGTTGAGGGGCATGAAACGGCTCGTCGTGAAAGCTGTGCACTCTTCCCAGATAATGTACGGTTCTGCATGTAACCGCATGCCCCATTCAGCGTCCAGCTTTTCCAGGTCGTCAGCCAACTCGGTAAGGTCTTCCAGCACTCCAGCGCATCGTGTTCCATCGTACAAGGCTTCGCGTGCCCAATCCACCCACTGCCGTAGCTTCTTGTGTTGCGTGGCGCACTGGAAGACATAACAGCACTCTATCCAGGCCTTTACTGTAAGCTGATGCCTCAGAAACTCGCTGACCTTTGCTTCAAGGTCGCGGCAGATATCCGGAAGTGCTTCTATTTTGAGACCTTCAAGGCAGACTAGGTCCCAGAGGTGGTCGATCCAGTGAGCCGCGGCATAGTGCGAAAGCGGAAAGGATTGGCTTAAGCTCTTGGCCCTATCTTGGTGGCCAATTCCGCGACTAGTGGGTTGAGATGGGAAGGAGTAAAGCAAGTAATGCAGACATCTCGAAGAGATGCTGAACATTGATCTCTGCTTCCAGAATTCCCACGCCGAAGCACTCTTAGCGACCCGCTTTTGGTCAAGTAATAGGTACTCCTTGGCCGAAAGGTGAACTAGTCGATACGAAGGTACCGGATTCTCGTCGAATGGATGAGGCAGAAGGATGCGCTCGACCATGCTACCGCATGTGACAGAAACCGTATCTTCAAGCGCCGAGAAGTCGTCATCAGATACATCCTGTGTCGTCACCGAGTTTCAAGGCCTGTCGCAGCTCACCTTCGGTGAGAGGCCGATGTGCAAGGGCAACCCATACGAGGATTTGTACTGCTAGCTCTTGTTCGATTTCCTTGCCTTGAAATATCAACGTCATTATACGGTCGTACATGCAGTCCAAGCCCTCGGGAGACCTGATGTCCATAATTACTCGGAGTCGCCGGGCGGGAGTCAGAGCATACGATTTTAGGTAGTCGATCATAGAACGAGCCCAGAGGAACATCCCATCAGCACCCACAGCCAGGCGTGACACTAGCTCCGTTGAAGGTGGCGAAGTCGGAAGGAGGTCCGAGAGCCTCTGAATATGTGTGTCAAGGAAGCGTCTTACATCCGCATCTGTGAGGCCCCTCAGATCAAGGCGGCACTCCTCCGGCACTGTATTGAAAAATGGAGCGATTGAATGACCCCCTGGCCGCCCAAACAGCAGGCAACGAGCCTGAGGTACTTCGGTGAGGGTGAGAAGGTCCTCAACTAAGCTTGGTGTATCAAGGCACTCATCAATCCCGTCCAGAATGAGATAGAATTCCCCCTGAGCAGAGGCGCATAGCTTCATGAGGTCCAGCATTTCGTTTCGCGAAGCATCTAGTTGACCAGAGGAGCCGTCGTCCATGACGAAAAGGAAGCGATCCACCAAATCATCGTCCATTCGATGATCTTGGAGTATCTGGGCCAAAATACTGCGATACACCGTGCAAGAAGTGGGGGAAATGCCCGCGTCGGAACGAAAAAAGTGGTAGTAGACCGATGGAATAGCTTGTTGGTTTGAGTGACTCCGAAGCTGCTTCACAGTCGAGCTAGCTAAGACGGTTTTGCCATATTGTTAAGTTGGATTCCTATCACGTGATTCACTGGTCCGTGCACTTGGTCCGTGCACACAACCTTTCTCGTATATAAGACTACTCTGTATATAGAACTACAACACACACAATGAATCAACTCTACCTATAATCAAGTCATATCCCGGATTACCTGGGCTTAGTGAGCGCTTACCGGAACCTTAAAAGCAATCCGGTTTTTAAGAAGACTTACCACGGACCCATGCCACGTTAGCAGAAAAGTGGCGGCTGCCTGTTCTTGTAGACTCTGAGGATTGCTTCCAACTCTTGGAGAAGGGAGTGTCCCAAAACCACTCGTTGGTCCTTTTTTCGCGCATTTCCTGGGCTTTTTCAAGATCATCGGAGAACGATGAAGGGTTTATCCATTTACGAATGCGTCCCAGCTTGTTGTCTAAAAGCGATTAGTGACAAGGATTGAATGAGAAAGAACAGACGTGCACGTACCCCTTGCGTGTTGCTCGCTCAGTCTCATGGTTTGCTCCATGAGGTCAAGCAGCTGCTGTCTCGTGCGCTGTGCATCTCTTTCATACTGTTTGGCCTCTTTCCGATGTTCCGCGGCTGCCTCACGGTCGTCAGCGGACGCACGCCTGTCTTTAGTAGCCTCTTCAGCTTCGAGAAGTTCTAATTCCATGAAAACGATGTCTCGATGAAGTTGGAACCGGTAGATGATATCTCGAAATCTGACATCGAATGGACGCCGCAGAATATCCACAATAATCTTGGGAGTCCTCTTAAGTCCTAAAAAGTGTTAGAGTCTGAATCTTCGCAACAGGGTGGGTGTCCAGTAACCACATACCGCCGCTAGATTTTCGGAAGACCCCAAGTACTGCCTGAAAGAAGTCGAATATGGCCACGTACAGCTCTTGCATAGATGCCTTAAGCGATACAGAAACGTTCCAAGAAGGATTGGCCAGAATCCTCTCATAGGACGGCATCTCAAGGGCAAGACGTTCCAAGAATTCAGCGAGTTTTTCGAAGAACGTGACGTAACAATGTGCGAGCTCAAACAAGTTAGCGAAAACATGACCATGGGGATCTTATGGGGGAAGGCTATACTATGAGGACAAGTTTGAGAGCGCCGCAGACAATTGCTGCGCACTCTGGATGAGATTGAACAATCATGTCAAATCCTTTCATGTAAGGGTCGAGTTTATCGCTGAAAGACTTTATTTGCTTCCAACAGGAGGAGTGTATTTTGGCATTACGCTTAGAACACAGTTCTTGGGCGTCTTTCAGAGCCTCGGGGGGATCTTGGGTCGTGGAGGGTGCTGCTCTCCTTCGGCGTTAGAGATGCGAGGAAGCGTTGAGCAGCTTGCACGACAATGTCGGTAGAGTCCCTTTACAAGCGTCAACGGAGCGGCCATGTCTTTGCTCTAGCTTGAGTATACGTACGCCATGATCCCTTATAACTCTGTGTTCGTCAATTGCGGAGAGGCACAATCGCCATCAGCCATCAGGCTGGCCGAGGATGTGGCTAGAATGGGACCAGGAGTTCTTTAGATGGAGCCGAGGAGGCCTACCTTTGTAGGACACATAGAGCAACAAAGGATGCCCAACACATAAGTCCACAGGCTCGCTTGAAGTAGGAACTGTTGCCTGTAGGAAGTCGCGAAGGCTAGCGCGCTGCAAGGCTGAAACAGCGCCAGCCTCTCGACGCCATACTGGTGAGACCGCCCGAAGCCCCGTCTCTCAGCCGGCCGCCCGAAATCCTATATAAGGCCTCCAGCTTGGAAGCGAAGTCAATACGTGGAAGGTCAAGCGCCGATTAGGGAAGAATTGGGCTGCGGTTCGGACAAGGTTTGGTAGGAGGCCAACTAGGCTTAGCGTGATGCGGGGAGCGATAACGGATAAGGGCAGGAAATTTCGGCGGGCGCGCATGACTCTGCAAGCCTACGTCGTCTGGAGGGCGCGAGGGTCCAATTGAGTGATTTAGCGTTCTTTGGGGCTAGATATAACTCCAGAGGTGAGATTTGAGTTCTGATCCTGTGGTTCTGCGTGGCGATTGAGGTTTCCCGGGCTTCCTGAGCGGTAACCTGTCTGCGTCATACCTCACGTCGTCTATTTCTTGCGTTCCCTCAACGAGAGCATAGTTTTGGGTATGGCATGAGAAAGCTCACTTCTCTCTAGTCAACATGTCCCTCGCACGCCCCAACGCCCGCCTCCTCGCTCGGACAAACCGCGTCGTGATGTCCCAAGTCCGCGCCTACTCTGCGCCCGGCGAAGGCGCCATTCCACCCTCCAAAAAGCGATACGTCCCTACCTCCGGCACCTATCCCCTCGGTTTCCGTGCCGGCAGCGCACATGTCGGCGTCAAGCCCTCAAACACCCGGTTCGACGATCTCGCGCTCATCGCGTCCGACACACCGTGCTCAGGCGCAGCAGTATTCACAACGAACAAGTTCCAGGCGGCACCTGTGACTGTAAGCCGGGAGATGCTGAAAAGGAGGAAGGGTGAGGGTGTTAGGGCGGTGATCATAAACTCGGGTTGCGCGAATGCCGTGACGGGCAAGGGCGGGATTGAGGACGCGATCAAGATGGGGCAGGAGACGGACAAATGCTTCATAAATGACAGCAATGGCGAGGACGATGGCAACGGAAGCAGGAGCATCGTGATGAGCACAGGGGTCATTGGGCAACGATTACCGATTCAGAAGATCCTCTCGAAGCTGCCTACAGTCTACTATAACCTCGGGGATACGCATGAGCATTGGCTGAGCACCGCGCGGGCGATATGCACGACGGACACATTTCCAAAGCTCGTTTCTAGGACGTTCATGCTACCGAGTAGCCAGGAAGAATACCACATCGCCGGCATGACGAAGGGAGCCGGAATGATCCACCCGAACATGGCGACTCTCCTTGGTATAATCTGTACAGACGCGCCAATCGCTCCCGCGCCTCTGCAGCAAGCCCTCACGAACGCAATTACAAAGTCTTTCAACAGCATCTCGATAGACGGCGATACATCGACCAACGATACCGTAGCTATCCTTGCAAACGGCGCTGCAGGTGGTCAAACTATAAGTTCTACTTCCTCCGAAGACTTCAGAGCTTTCCAGGAAACTCTCACAGACTTTGCAATTGACCTCGCCAAGCTGGTCGTCCGCGACGGTGAGGGTGCTACGAAATTCGTCACCATCCGCGTCACAAACGCGAAAACTTACGAGGACGCCAAACGCGTCGGCAGCACCATCGCTCGCTCACCACTCGTCAAGACTGCGCTCTACGGCAAGGACGCGAACTGGGGTCGGGTACTCTGCGCTACAGGCTACGCCGAGGGCGTGGAGTCGGTCATCCCGGAGGAGACATCCGTAAGCTTCATCCCGACCGATGGCAGCGAGGAGTTGAAGCTGCTCGTCAAGGGCGAGCCGGAACAGGTAGATGAAGAGCGAGCGGCGAAGATACTGGAGGCGGAAGATCTAGAGATTTTGGTGAGGCTGAGCGAGAAGTACCACGATGAGGCGACGGTTTGGACGTGCGATTTCTCGCATGAGTATGTCACCATTAATGGGGATTATAGGACTTGATAGAGAGTGAAGTAGAGAATGGTCAAGGAATTGTACCGTACTCGAATGCATCATTGGCCGCTCGGCATCTAAGAAGTTAAGGAAAACCTATCAAATACAGCTTCGAAAACACTCCCAGCTCAGAAGGACCCCTCCGGGGGCCAACTCCCCTGCTTGCTTCCCCCGAACTTCTTCGGCATGCTCTCGTTGACTTTCTCCAGCTCCCGCGCAAGGCCCCGATTCAAAAGAACCGCCTCTTTGAAAAGCCTCCATAATACCCAAGCTCGTCATCAAAAACATGAGCCATGACTTCCTTCCACACTCCTTCGTGTTGTTCCTCTTCCGAGACTCCGTCTACTTGTCGTACTCCAAGTTTCATGAGAAGAGCTAGCCGGAAGAATATCACAGCCCATCGTTTCCCGGCCATGGTAGAAACGTGCGAATTCCATGGATAGTCCCCCCCCTCTCTCGCTTGCTTGAGATCGCCTTTTAGATCGTCGCTGTATTCGGGGACGCTTTGGAGCGCGACATAGAGCTGATCGTATAGATTGATGAGGATCTCTGGGTTTGGCTTCTTTATGTTATCCGTCACTGCGGGGACGCAGCGCCAGATGTAGACGAATAGCGCATTTCGGCGTGATGTCCCCGCTGGCATCTGGAGAATTTTCTCGGGGCTTTTCTCGTACTCTGGCATTGGGGAGGCTGCAGTTGTTTGAGAGTTGTGGTGAGCAATCGATCGTCTGTAGAAGTAGATGTATGCTCATAAGAAAACAGGAATGCAGTGGAGTGCAGCGACGCTCGAAGGATCGCTTCCGAGAATTTATATACACCGCTGAAATACTCATAACGTGTTTGTTGACGCGCTGCCAGTCATATCGATGAGTCTGCAGGCGGGGGTTATTGCACGCTGACTGGGTGTCTGTTAGCGGATATAAGCGTATTATTTCTACAAGAGCAGAAGAATTGCGATCCTTTTGCTCCTGATAGTGTCGTATGAGTGGTAAAAGTTGAGTATGCGGTATCGTTTTTCCATTATGTCGTTGCCCGACAGCCTTGAATTGAACAAGTTAATGATTTAATGATCGCAAGGTAATAATATTTCTTCTAGATTTCACTCTTCCGTGTGATCGTACCTCCGATGGTAACGTGGAAGAGCTATAAGACAGGCAGCGCATCCGTGGCTAAATACACGCCAGTTCTACCAGGCATGCTCTACTCGTTACTGACGTGGCGCACATTATGCCTTGCATTCGCACGTTGGTCCATGTTATGAGTAAACCTATCGGTGACTCTAGGAGAAGTATGATGAGGACGCTCGGATCATCGACCGCGCATGGCGATGCGCTCACTCATCAACGACAGCACATTTTCGGCAGAGTCACAAGCCTCTATCACTAAGAAAATCCCAAGATGAGCGCTTCACCTCACTTCATGCCCTTGGTGGACCGCAGCCGCTGCCCATTTGGCCGAGTATGGATGGTGTTCATTCTATGGCGGCAAATTGCAGTGCCTCAAGCTCAAGGATTTCCATTGATCGAGTCAAAGGAGCACCCTGTGCAACATACATAATACATACATTACAACATTCTGTACATACGACAAAGGAAAGACAAAGGAAAGTCTTAAAATAAGTGAAATCCTCCTAACACCCCCAAAGCTGGATGCACGAGCCAGTGGAGCGCCGTGTACAACATCCATAATACATATACCACAAAATTCTTACAGACTGTAAAAGAAGGGCAAAGGAAAGGCAAATGAAAGTTCTGAAATGAGTAAAATCCTCCTAATACCCCCAAAGCCAGATCCACGAGCCAGTGGAGCAAGATATCATCTGTACTGGGGCGGAATGCCTAGATAGATGTTCTCTGCGAGTTCATCCAACCTTTGGACTAACTCCTTTCCCTCATCCGTATGTCCATTTTCTTTTCCCGCGTCGTGGAGAATGCGCCAGGGTTCTCCGGAGAGTACCCGCTGCTTTGACTTCGGATCCGAAAAAGACCCCCGCCATACACTTTCCCGGCGAGGAACCACCCGACTTCCTGCTTGATCCTCCCCTTGCTCCAAGACTCTGTCTCCCACTCGAGTTCCTTGGCAAGCAGGCAGACGCGAAAGAGGCGTTTTGCGCAATTCTTTTCATGCCCCGTGTTAAGAGTGAATGCCGGCTTCCAAGGGTAGGTGCCGAGCTTCGCCCAAGTTTCGAAATCCTTTTCCAAGGATGTACCATATTTAGGAAGGTTCCTGATATCTTGCTGAAGCTGAGCGTATACCCTGATCAGCTCACTCTCTTCTGGCAGTGGGTTCACCTTAACAGCAGCACTGGGCGTGCACCTCAAGAGGAAGATTAAGAGTCCGATTCTGCGGGTAGCCACATCTTCAGTCTCGAGGTACTTCTTGTAGTCGTTGTAGTCGTCGTCGGGGGCTGCAGGAACGGCGGGGGCAGCAGGAACGACGGGGGCAGCGGGGGCATCGGGGGCGTCAGGGGCAGACATGGTTGCGAACTGGCAGTAGTGCGACGAGTGCCCTTCGAAAGGAGATATTTGATTGTGAAATTGTGATGCGTTAGCTTTGTACTTTAAGAACTGGAGTTGTGGAAGTCTGGGAGTGGATGGAGAATGGTCCTTCGTGGAGACGCGCTTCAAGCGCTTTATATACTAAGGAAAGAGTCATGCACGTCTATCAGCTCCGACTCAGAGCTATGAGTAGACCTAGTCAAGTCATCGTGCGTTGACTGTTTGCACGACCGAGCACCCACGTATCGAACCACTAGTACATGGTCTATCGCCCGCCATGAGCACTAACAAGCATCTCTGACTCCTTCTGGTGCTCCGTGGAGAGGCGAAGAATAAAGAGGCGTTTGATCCGCATAGGCCTGCTCCTTATCGCCATAGAACTTTAGTCACCTGTCTGTAAGAGCAGGCCTACCATAAATAAAGTAGTCGTTCAGCCCTACTCATTCTACTGAGCTCACAGAAAGAATTACTTCCAATATAAGGTAAGGACCTCCCTTCCGTAATGTAAATTGCGATGATCCAACCCAACAGTCAGTCAGTCAGTCACGAAGTACAAAGAAGAAACACGTACTCAAATCTTTCCTACTCTCTTTACTCATACTAAGAGTCATGCATACTGGTATGAGTCTTCAACGAGAACCCAAACTGCGCGTCCGAGCATTTTTCACCTCAACATCACCATAATCTCCAATATGTCCAACAACGTGTAGCCATATTCTCGGCCAAAGCGAGTACATCACCATTTCAGCAGGCAGAACTACCCTTCGTCGTACTAGAATTCCACGGACCCCGCTCGCTAGAAGGAGGGTGTATTGCAGCGAGCAAAAAATGAGCGAAAAGAGTCCAGAGAGTCCGCGAGTCCCGACCAAGGACATTTTCCCAAGGGTACGAAAAGACTAGAAGAAGCTGCGAAGGAATGAGCACAAAAAGCTGTCCTATCCCTTCGGCAACTCATCGAAACACTGCTCGCTGAAGATTCTGCTGAGATTAAAGTGACTCAGATCGAGCAGTGCCGCTCTGCCCACAAACAGGAGATCAAAGCTTTCCGCTACAACGTTCGAAAAGCATCCTCACACGTGGCGCAAATGGGTGAAGGGGGGAAACCTCACTCTTTTCAAACTCGCGGCCGTGAAGGAGCTGAGAATTCCAACAACTAGACAAAAATCGCTGGGAACCTGGATACAAAGCTGAAGGACATTATGAGCAGGATTCCAAAGTTGCGAACGACGGATGAGCGTTGGGATGGATGAAGCGATATAACCGCGCTGAAAAACCGAGTGCTACAAACCGCACTCTGATGTAGATATCTTCGACATCAACATGGGCAATCTCCGTGTTGTAACTTCTTCGGATAAGGGCGAGGCAAAAACTACGAAGTGTAATATGCGGAAAGGGGTATGGCGGAACTCACTTGCATTATCGAGACTGCGCATTAGATCGTACAAGTAAAGAAAGATCCATAAAAGAGAACTCCGTTAAAAGATCAGACCACCAAAGAAATCGTAGAGTTAAATCTGACTGGAGATAGATGCATGTGACTGCAAACGTCGAAACCCAAGCTAGCAAGAACGAGTAAGCTCGCCGGGAAAAAAGGCAGAATTCTCATTCAGCGCGTCTTACTCCTCCTCCTCTCCTTTCCTATATACTTTCCAATCCGATTTCTCGATCGATCTCAGCTCCTCGGTTATTCTCTCCGTGATTACTTCGGTGTCCTCGAGCTCTTCATCAACCGGAATCAAGTCCGTGACTGGGTCTCCCGCCCCCCGGCAAAGGTATCGAACAAGCGCCTTTGCGGGGACTTTGTAGCTCCGGTGCGGGCGCGGGAGCTCTTTGCGGCCGAGACACATTCGGTCCATGTCATGTGCGTCCAAAATTATAACCCTGTCCCTGTTGATACGGAGAACGGTGAGATTGCAATCTTTTTCCAAATCGGCGCCGTATTCGATGAAAAGTCTGCTCATCGCCAACATGCGCCTATCCACGAAGTTGTTCTCCCCCTTGTGGATAATCATTTCACGATTGCAAAACGAATAGCTGAACGTCAAAGCGACCTCCCAGGGTGTTGTGCCAACGAATGAGAGGTTCGGGTTCGCACCAAGCTCTAAGAGAACACGGAGCATTCTTAAATATTCGTCGGTAGGATACCCCGACCTCGCAAGGGCAAAAAGCGGCGGTAGTCCTTTGGGTCCATTGACGAGAAGTGCCGGATTGCTTTCCAGTCGAGATTGAACATATCGGCTGCCATAACCACCACTGGAAGCTAAGAGTGCTGAAAAGTTAGATTCTAGTGAAGATTGACCAATCAAGTCTCTAATCTTATGCGAGTCCATACGAAGGCTCCGTACCTCGTATAACATTTGATTCAATAAGAATTCCCGGGGGCTCGATTTACTGCACACTAAGACGCGCTCAAGGTCTGTCCACAAGGGCAAGGTCATATGGAACGGGAGGACTTCCGCCTGTCTGTCAAATCCCTGGAGAGACATAGTCGTTTTGTATGAGCGTACCGTCAGACCCATCAGATATTGAGCTTGTAAAAGGGCAGTACAAGACTTGCAGTAGGAAGCCCGGCGCGCATCCGAATCGGTGCCAGCACTATCTGACAGGCGTTTGTTCGTAGCGGGCAGTCTCAGGAACTCTATGACGGTTCTGTGACTGGCATAAACAGAGGTATCGATCATGGCCTTCATGTCGACGTTTGTCCCCGATTTCCAAGGATCCGTAGCACCGCCACGACACTCCAACAAGCCTTTGCAAAGCGTATTTATTCGTATCAGCATTCTTTGGTGAGCAGCTGCTAGCTCCTCAAGGCTTAGACTCTCTCTCCGAATGATTTTGGAGTACTCCGTGTCCTCCATGTAGCCGTATTGAAGCGGACAGAGACCCGCATGGTCCAGAGTGGCGAGAAACATCTTTGCGGCGCTTTCTTGATACCTTCGCTCAATGCTAGACAGTATGTAGTCGTGCAAGTCTTCTAATTCTGTAGGGGGGCTTCCAACCTTTGCAGTACATCGGAAATCCGGTCAGAATTCTTGATGCCTCGCGCGAGGGCGCGTGAAGCCAACCGTACCCACAAGAAAACTCCGTTAGCCGCATTGATCAACTCCCTTACAAGCACCGTATAAGATGGGTGGCCTTCGCTTAGACGTCGAAACTCCGGGTCATCTTCGAGTTCTCCCTTGATGTAGACGCGTATGTCGTCGCGGGTGAGTTCGTGAATGGCCAGACAACGCTGGGGATCGCAGCCAAACTCGTGAACAAAGCTAGACAGAGGTCGACTCGAGACGCATAGATTTGCCGCAGCCGATTGGCGGAAAGTTCGGAGGAATTCAACTAACTCTTCTTCGTCACGTACTGTTCTACCGTATTCGTCTCTATCGTCGAACTCATCTAGGCCATCTATTAGGAAGAAGAACAGAAGATTATGGTTCTGCTGAGTATGTAGAATGCGATTTAATGCGTCTTGGAGTGTCTTCAGCGGGAATTCGAACTTGGATCCACAGTTGACCCATTCGGCTCCCGGAAAAGCGAGAGGAATCAAATCCTTTCGTTTTTCGAGTATACGATACAACAGCGATCGCAACAGACCAACGAGTGATCGTTGCAATATCCTCCCATTCCCCCAGAAGAAGCACTCGGCGATGATTAATTGGTGGCCGCCAGACCATTCGCGAAGGTGAACCGGGAGAGACGAATGATGAGAAAGGAATTCCATCAACGTGCTTTTGCCTGCCCCCGGCTTTCCAGATACCCAGAAAACGTTTATTTCTGGGTCATCGGATCGAAGCCAGTTTCTGAACAAGGAGTGCTTTGGTGAGCCCAGTCCGGGAGCATCGCCATCGAGAATCCATCCGAATGTTTACCTATGCGCCTCCTTCACCTCGTCTGCACGCCTATGAAGATGAAAGCATGCTTGTGCCATAGCTGGTGCAGTGCATGATAAGCCTAGAAACCAATTAGCTCTTGCGGCACGTGGGACAGTAACGGTTGAGGAAGAGATGGGCTAGGGTGGCGCCGTACGAGGGACTAAGTGGACCAACGCATTACGCTGCGCGACCCGCAACTCCACCTTTGAGTGACAGTAGCTCGCTCTCGCCGTCGGCGGATACAAAGAGAACTGACAGGACGGAGGGTCGAAGGCGTCGGTGTTGGTGTTGGACCGAGTGATACTGTAGCCCCGCTGTTCGAGAAAGGAAGGAGCGAGGTCTAAGGCTACTTACTCTTAGGAGAATGGAATGGCACTGGGATTTGTCCGTGCCCACCACCCTTTGATCCCGAGGAATAGTCCGCAAAATGAAATTATCGCACTCGAGCTACATTGCACGTCTAACAGCACCCCTTGAATAAACAGCGCGTTATTCTCTATTGTGGGGATCCAACACGCCTTCCGTCACGCTTATCTCTCTTGCGATCCTTCTCAGAACAGCTGCGACCGAATCTTCCTCCGCCACCGGAGGTATCAAATATGCGGCACTGGAGCTGGCAACCTCCGGCTCTTCCATCACATAGCGAACTATAGCCGCCGCCGATAACGAAAAGTTTTTAATTCCATACTTCTCATGGTGATCTGAAAGCAGTACCCTAATGGACCCATCCGCAGGGACGATCCTTGCGGGGTCGTGTGGATGTGATATTCCTGTGGCGCTCAGGTGGCATGAGACGGTGAGATCAGCTCCATGCTTTAGAAAGTCCCAGACTAATGGCCCGGTTTTGTTCCACCTCTTCCCTAAAACTGTGTCAAAGCAAACCTGGAGCATGAGAAAGGCCTTCCAGGGTGTGGACCCGGCACAAGGTTCGTTAGGATCGGCGCCGCGTTCGAGAAGTAGCTCTACTGTGGGTGGTATGAGGTTCCCCTTCTCTGGGCTCCAACAGGCCTTCATTAAAGCAAGGTAAAGCGGGGGAAGGCCCCCGGGAACAGTGGCAATGAGTGCCGGTGCTCGGTCGAGCTCGTGCTTGACCAGTTTGGACGCGTTGTGGACAATAGCAAGGTCGATTATCCTTAGGTTTGGTGAAGGATGGCATTCGAATATGACGAGGAGGAGCTTACTCCGTACCAAGAAGGAAAGTAATGGTTCACCATGAATGACAGATCCACGAGTGATGAGCTCCAGCTCTGTCCAGTGCTTGGAAGCATATCCGGGCTCCAGATCCTCCGTCCAAGAACCAAACCTTGCGACCTCCTCCAACAAGGAGAGGGATGTTTTGGCCCACTTGGGCTCCTTCTGTTCGTCGGTAGGATCATAAAGATGCGGTAGCTGTTCGAGAATGAGGACGAGAGTGCGGATTGACGCCAAGCTGGTTTTGGCCATGAGTTCGTCTATGCTGGTTGAGAGCTTAGCCTGGACACGAAGCTCTCTCTGGACGGTCTGTTCGTTCAGGTACTCCACGACAGTTCGGTGGATGGGTTGCAGCAATTCGCTGTAAAGACGGACAATACGCCGCGCATGATCATTGTTTATCTCTTGCGTGACTGCTCGTTTAGTGTCAGACACCTCCAGTAAGCATTTGCATCGTGCATTGACCCAATTAGGTAATTGCTCTTCCAGTCTCAAAAGATCATCGACGCTCCATTCTCTCGATGCATCATCCAGGCAGAGGTAATGCATGACATGACACCCCTGCTTCCGCAAAGACACAAGTAGGAGCGTCCGAGCGGCGATACGCCTATAACGGGGCTCGATCGTGGACAGGATGCGCGCATACATAGCACCTAGGCTATGAGGCAGATCTCGCAAGCGTTTCCGTAGGTCCCAGATTCGATCTGCATTCGTGATTCCCTCTAGGAGCGAGTTTGATGCCAAGTATACCCAAAGAAACACGCCTTGTGCGGCTTCTATCATTTCGGCAACCAGTGCGGCGTATTCCGGATCTTTGCTAGCAAGCCGTCTGTATGTCTCGTTTTGGCCTAACGTCTCATGTATGTACGCCTTTATGTCGTCTTTGGTCAGCTCATGGAGGTGGAAACACCGCTCATGGGTTTGCCCGAACTGAATTTTGAAGGCGTTCAGGGGACGGCTTGAGACACATAGCTTTACTGCGGGCGAGTCATAGAAGATACGGAGGATGTCGATGAGGTTCCTTGCGTAGAGGCCCTGGTCATCAGGGTTGTTAAGGTCATCGAGCTCGCTGCGATCGCCGAACTCGTCGAGGCCGTCAATGAAAAACAGCAAGCGGAAGTCATTCTCAGTTGCTTTCTGGAGGACAATTCTCAAAGCCTCACGAAGAGCGTCCTGTGGAAATTCGTATTGCGGGCCTCCGGTCATCCAGTCCTGATTTGGGAAGGCTTGGTCGATCAGATCCGGATATGCTCTAAACACTTGATATAGGAGCGACCGGAGTAACCCATTCAATGACCTTTGCAATGCGGTTGATCCTAATCTCCAAAAGTAGTAGTCGATAACCAGCAAAGATCGTGTTCCAACCCATAGTTGCAGATGCTCCCTCAGCCGTGGATGGTGGGCTAGAAACTTCATCAGGGTACTCTTTCCAGCGCCAGGCTTGCCGGAAACCCAGAAAACATTCTTGTCCGGTTCGTTCCAACTGCAACCAATTGCGAAACCGAGGCTCATGATGACGCGTAATATCGTTGGCACGATCCTCAAATATCCAGCCAAAGGTCTTCTTGTGCGCTTCTCTCACGGCATCCTCGCGGCTCCGTAGCTGCGGAAAATACAGCGCGTGCATACATTGCCTTCTACTCTGCAGTTGCTCGTTCTTCGTGATCCAATGCTGGAGCCTCGTGATAGATTCATTGGTAGTGTCGATCATAGTTACGCCCTTTACCGAGAGGCTGTTCACCCTCTCAAGCTGCCGCTTCATCGCGTCGAAGTTCTGGGAGGTCATCTGATCCGAAGCAAATTGTCGCTGCACCAAGCCGTCGATGTTTGAATCCATCGCAGGGACCCGAGTCGCGATGATATGATTGGTGATATCCCTAGCGAGTCGATCGATCCGGGCCTGCGAATCCTCCAAATCTTTCTTTCGGTATCTCGCCTTGACTGCTGCCAAAGTGGCCTGGAATAGGCTTCCACGATCTTTCAAACGAATCGCTTCTAACGAAGCTACGTGCTCGTCGGTAACGTTCCGAGCATATTGTGCTAGTTCGCATAGGCGTTCGTCGTCTTCCTTTTGCATGATGTTCTCTGCGGTCTGCCGCAGCTGCTGAGCTGTGAGACGGAGCTCATTGATCTCGTGCGTGGAGCCATCTATGGACAAACGGAGTTCCTTGACGGTAACAAAGACCTTTCGAGACGTTTCGGCAAGTTGAAGTACATTGCACACTAACGAGAAAGCCGCAACAATCTCCATTGCCGAAACGGAAGAAGGTCGCAAGATCGAGGGAAGGACTTCGCAGGCCTGCCTTTCAAGTAAATGGCTCATGTTGTACTTCCGTGTTACCTTACCACCTCGCCCGTACTACCCCCAGTCGCAGGACTAAGCCAGCGATGGCACAAGATGGGATCTAAGTGTCGTTATGGCGTGCCGTGGCACTTCAACAAGCCACTCAATCTTTTGTACAGCAGTGGAACGGTAACCTTCGAGAAGGCGACCGGCCACAACGGGTTGTACGCAAGAAGCGGGGTTGAAGGAAGTCAGGCTATATCGGACAACCCAGCCTATGCGAGGCACCATGCATCATATGGCCTCTCGCGAACGTGCGGCGACAGCGATCTCGGGGACAAGGACGGTGATACAGGGCATCGGGTACGTGATGCACTAATTAGCAAGGATTGGGGGCGATACGCTACGAAATTAACGCATTTTGATTCACGATCTTGGATGGTTGACCTTACCGTTGCTTTCCGCCTTAACCGTAGCTGTGGAACAAAATGTCCAGAGCACTTGGATATCATACGCCTATACTCCTTAAACGCCTTCAATGCAACTCCACTTATGCTACTTCCACGTCTCAAATATAATGCTCAATTACTTTAGAACCTGGATCGCGGTTAGTACCCGAGGTCTGATCTAGCGTCATCAATGCTAACTCACCTTATCTCGTAATTACCCGCCCTGGTCATGTACCGCACCCACTTTACACTGCTGTAGTTGCTCTTCTCAAAGACCTTCAAGTACCGCACCAGTAATCCCGAGCTCGTGAACATCAACAGCGAAAAGCTCAAGCTGAGGGGCGGTCTTGACCAAGCCTTCTGGTTGGTCATGCTCGTCAGGCTAGCCTCTGCGGAGAGCACGAACTCGCTCTGGCCTGTAAACCGGGGTATCTTCCAGACGATGTTGTTGTGTTCGGGTTCGTACTTGGCCTTGCCCTGTGATGTCCGTTCTGTAATGCGAGCAGTGTTCAAGGGCGTTGGTATGCGGACGACGACATTTGTGGCGAAGAGTTTCGAGCCGTAGTTCGCGCGAATGGCGATGCTGTATTCAACCTTGGTCTTGCCAACCTCGTTGACGATGGCATGGACCTTGAAGGGGAGATTTACGTTCTCGGTCGCACGGTACCGCATCAACTCAAACTCGCCGTCGGGCGGTATGAAGGAGATTATCCTGTCCGTGTCAAACTTGCCTAGCTTCACGCACTGGTGGAACTGGCAGTCCTCCAGCGTCACGCTTCCTGCGGCTGCTCTTGTTGCTTTCGCGCCTGCTCGATTCCCTGACGGTCCATGTAGATTGTCCTCGCCGAGCGTTAACCGGTCATTCAGCCCAAATTTGCATTCTGGTGTTCCGGAAAGATACGCGCGCATTATGATCTGTCCGTTTACGTCTGCTCGAAGTACTGTTCCCGTCGCCGACATGAGGAGGTTCACGTCTTCGATCACGTCGACGAATGCTTCGTTCTTGCGGTACTTGATGTCGGCCCGCCGCCATGAGAGGGCGCCGGTCGCTTGCATGGTGATCTTGGATGAGTCCTCCTGTATCCAGTCAGCCACCAGCGCCACCAATTGCACTCCACACATCCAAAGCGTACCATTGCTCGCTCCGACTTCACGCCCTCGGTGGTGATGTACATCTTCAGCGTATCCGTCTCCGTATTCTGCGGATACCCAAAATCCAATATCTCATCCAGCAGCTCATACACCAGCACAAAGTTATTCTTCACAGCCTCCTCATCGAATTTCCCAAAATACGCCTTCCCCAGTCCAATCAGCCGGTATATAAACTCGAACACCAGCGCGGCATTGGCATTGCTCTTCGTCACGGCGACCAAGTATATGTTCTCGTGTTTGACATGGCTGAAGGTGGTGGAGCCGAGCGTGAGGATGGGTGAGCGCACCTGCGCGTTGGAGATGACCTGGATGCGGAAGACGTCGGCGAGGCGCGGGCGGCAGTCGTTGCGAAAGGCGCGGAAGATGAGGTTCTCGCCTTTTTGGTTAAAGATCAGGATTCCGGAGAGCATGGCGAAAACGTCGGGAGGAGGATGTTCGAGGATAAAATACGAGAGTGAAGCTCGGCGGCCATGTTGTGCTGGACGGTATGGGAAGCTTGGGCCATAATGCCAAGACCGGCGACTTATGTATCTCTCCTCCCGATTCAGCCCTCAACAACCATCTGCAGACACGATTGCAGTCTTCAGCTGGCATGGCTCTCGATGAAACAACCGGATTCATTATCGATGTTGACGACGCCCGCGAGCTCGGAAGGCCGGAGGCCAAGCCGTTTCCCTTGACGACCCTGCCAAAAGAGCTCCGCCTCGAGGTCTATTCGCACATGATGCGGCTCATATACCGGCCTATATTCTCACACATCCATAGCTTGCGAGGGTTCGGCCGCTGGTATGGTTATGCTGCCCCAACGTCAGTCTTACAGGCTTCGCGACAAGTCAATGCTGAGATACGGGCTGTATTACGTTGGCTTAACGATGGCTCCCCGCCCGTTGTCATATGCAGCCAGAACCAGGAGGCGTTTTATAGCAGTCTGCTCTTTTCCCTCACTATTGCTCGGCGTCGCGATGTCCATTGGCTTCAGACGAACGGTTCTTGCCCGGACGGCCTAGGGGTGCAGCCAGCGGCGAGCACCGTCAGCGACCCTGTTAGGTTTATCATTGGAGCGCTCGAGCGCTCGGGAGTGGGCGATTCGTCTTTTCTAAGGTTATCACCAGAAATGGCACGAAACGTTTACAACTTCGTAGAGCAAACGCTCATCCGATTGCGGCGGAGCCCCAATCTCGAGCTTGTTCTTCTGGCTGGACACCCACGGCACTCCAGCTCGCCGGAGACCACAACACGCGAAATCTGCAAACTTCTACAGTCCTTGGGAAGACGAGGAAAAAGTGAAGCAACGATTAAGACCAGAGTAAGCGTCCTAGGAGCCCTAAGAGGCCCTTGTCAGGATGACGCACATTTCCGTCACAACTGGATACAAGAGCCGGATCGGAATGCCATTCCATGGGAGATTGCTTCAAAAGACCAGATGAAGCTCTTCCGGTAGAGCCCGTCATACGCACTCTCCAAAAGAGTGGACGAACAGCTTGCCCAGCATACCATTCCTATGCCCGCTTTCATTCTGATCCCCTTTTGGCGGGTGATGTTTTCCTTCGGAGTTACAAGCCGAAGCATCGGACTCTTTTTCGCTTCAAAGAGACAAGGGACGTCGTGTGGGGAGAGCATCGTGCGGAGTCCTTTCGGAGCAAGCCCCCAGGCCAGTTGATCCGGAGCGATGAGTCTATCCTTCGGAGCGATCAGCGCTATCGCTAGCGCTCCACGCGGGATCGCCTGGTCATCGCTTTCTAGGGCCCTTTCTACTCGTTCGTCAACTTTTCTCCCCGTGCACTTCGAAGTGATAGCTGTATCAAGTGTCTATGTACGCAAAAGAAATAGGAAGAATAACGAAGGCTTGGGCTGAGGAGTCTCTGGGGATAGAGTTGACTAGGCTCTTCAAGAATAGAGCGCAGTATCTAGGGTTCAAGGATAGATGCACGAGGTGGGAGTTTGGGGGAGGATGTCCTTTCCCATGCTGCGATATGTGATGGTCGCAATTGACGGGAGCATTGGTTTCCTAACATCTGTTATTTTGCCCTTCTGAAATGTCATACTGCTCTCACAGGGGGGAGCAAAGCTTCTTCAACCAAGACGACAAATGTAGCACTTCCGCGCTAAAAAATAAATAAATTGGTTTTCTTTCCTTGGCTGCTTTTCACTACATTTCTCCAAATGGCGCCGCCTGTTCATTGTGTGTATCTACTGGATTGTTATTGTGTATACCTAGGTACAGGCGCTGGGTATAGCGCCTATACTGTGTTGCTTGTTAAGCATGTATTGTGTAACTGTGCGGATCTCTCTATATAATGTAGCTCCCCACGTAAAACCGAACTCAGCAAGTTCCGACCACAACCATGTCAACTACCTGCGACATGTCACCCTGCGAGACCCGACCGTTCCGATTCCTTGACTTACCTAAAGACATCCGGCGCCTCGTCTACGACGAACTAGCGCAACCGATCCAACGCCCAGTCTTGACTAAAAGCATCGGACTATCCTTCTACGACCGCGATACTCCGCACTCGCTGCTGTTCGTCAATCACTTCGTTCACGAAGAGGTCATCGCCTCTCTCAGCCCTCAGCGCGAGCGACAGCCTGTTGTCCTTTCCTGCGACACGTCGTCTATTGATCGATTTGGCTCTAACGTTATTTCCTTCCTTAGACTTGGCTTCTATATCGACCATCAAGCCAGGCAGCGTAAGGCCGATACATACATGCGGGAGCTCAATATCAACTTCTTTGCTCGGGATCTAAAAGAGCGCCTTGCTGGAGCTTTCGCTAAGAGTCATGGCGAGGACGCGCCGTTCCCTGATGCGGCGCTCACTGATTTCCTCCGTATCTCCGTCTTGCGATCGCGCCACATACCAGAAGTCCACCTCCGCATTCTAGTGGACGATGGCGCGCTTAACAATCCATATTCGAGCGATTCGCTAGCTCTATTCTGTCTGGAGAAGAGGTTGAAGGATGCCAACGAGTGGCCAAATCGAGATAGTAGCAGTCGGATCAGCTTTCACTTGTCGATGGTGAGCCAGGACGACGATGCGGAGGAGGCGTTCAAGAAGAAGAATCCCGAACTGGTTGCCGCAGGGGACAGCGTGAAGTGGGAGATTGCGGAGGAAGAATAAGTCCAAATCTGGACGTAACGGGCAGGGCTCCAAGCATGGGGCAAATAGGATTGAAGGAATACTGCGTATATCTTCATGTAGGTGAAGCAGTGAGGTGACTTCGTGAAGCGGTTTGGAGCAGCCGAATCCGCCTAATATCGACTTACAAAGTTATCACTCACCTCGAAGAGCGATGTTTAAGCTAGAGTTAATTTAACACCTTCTACTAACCCTAAACCCGACAAAGCACGAGAACGCAGGGGGTCTCGCCCCACAATTTCTATAAGCTATAGAAAGAGGCTAAGCGCATTTTAAGTCTTATTATTTAGCTGCTTACCGTTTACTATAGGCTATAACGTACTTTACCACTGAAGCCCTACACCACCGAACGCCCCACGATTTCTTGGCAAGGAAAATCAACGAAAATCAACAGGTTTTTCTTAAATAACTAAGCGAAACCTTAATATTTTTCTATAAAAATTTATATATATATTCTTTATAGTATATTACACCTTATATTAAAGTTACACTAAGATATATTACGTAATTAAAAAGCTATACGTATTTAACTAACTTTTAAGAAAAAATCTACTTTACTTCTAGTAATATTATAGTACTAATATAGATTCGAGTTTAGATACTACTTACGTAACTACGGCTAGCGCCTTAGCGTCTATATAGATATTTCTTATAGCCTACTAAGTCTTCTACTTCTTATAGTATAATATATTATATTATTATATTATCTACTCTATAATAGTTTATACTATTCTATCTAAGGTTTTACTATTTTATAATAGTTCTTTCTAGTATTATACTAGAGATCTAGAAAAAAACTAAGAACTACGTTACTATTATATATAGTCTAGTTTTTTTCGCGTCTCTAGAAAACTATAAAGCTAGCTAGATTCTAGAACTATAGTAAGTAATTAGTAATAGTAATAGTAGAGAAAGCTTCTTACTAACTATATATAATTCTAGCTACTAATATAGTAAATAATAGCTACTAGTATTAATACTAATTTAACTAAGCTTATTATATTACTAGGTTTAGAATAAGACTTAGTACTATAAGCTAAGACTCTTATAGCTCTTTTTTCTATACTTAAGAATACTTTAATATATTAAATAAATTAGATAGAGGCTAAAGATACTAAGTAGTAAGCTAAGCTTAATTAGGTAGAACTTAAAAATAACTAGAAGTAGCGCTAGATTAAAACTATTATAACTACTCTTATTAATCTTATAAATAATAATACTAGTAGTAGTAGTAGATACTATATTTTAGAAAACCTAGAAAAATTTAAGAGTAATAAGAAGAATATACTAAAGCGCTAATAATAGTTTAAAATATAGTAGTCTAGTATCTACTATATTCTTAAGATAGATAATTATATCTTTAATAATAGCTTTTATTAGCTATAGTATATTATAGAACGTCTAAAAGGTAATACCTATAGCCTACTATAAATAAAGTTTAAGATAATTACTAATAATCTTAATAATCTAGTTTCTTAGCTATAGTAAGGTCTAGAGAATATTCTAGAGAGTATAAACTAGATCTATATCTTAGTTAATCTATTATAGTAAGTAAAAATTAACTTTAAAAACTACTAGATAAAGAATAAACTCTAGTCTAACTTTAAGACTAAGTATAACTAACTTATAACTATAGCTAGAAAGATAAATACGTAGATAGTTAATTTACTTAAGATTAAGATTTTCTAGAAGCTCTCTAACGTAGTTATAGTAAGCTTAAACAAGCTAGAACTAGATAATATTAATAGGTAGTATAAGTAATACTAGAAGAGCTAGAAAAATCTATAGAAAAAAGTCTATATTAATAAACTATAAGCTTATTACTTTAGCGCTAAATCTACTCTATAAATCTAAGAGCTACTAACTTTCTATAGCGTTATATTCTCTAATATAATAGTAATAGACTCTAATACTATATAATTAAACGCTTACTATCTATTCTAGAATCTAACTTAGAATAACTATCTAACTTAAGAATAATATATCTAGTAAAACCTTTATTTCTACTATAAGTAGATAGAATATAATAAAAATAACTATATAGAGAAGAAATAAAATAATACTAAGTATAAATAGCTTAGACTAACTAGAATAAAGTAAGAAACTATTCTTTAAATTCTATTATATATACTTTAATTATAGTATTTATCTTAGTCTCTCTACTTCTATTCTTTATAAGACTTTCTACTAGGTAACCTATTCTAAGTATAAGGCTTTATAGAAAAAGAAACTAATAGCTCTACTTTAAGCTTAACTACTCTAGTAGATATACTACTATTTATAGTTATACTCTTAATAAGTATATTAAACTCTAGCTTTCTAGAAAACTTCTAACTTCTAGCTAATACTATAACTAAAAGTTAATAGAGAATTTAAGGTTAGTCTAGAATAATAATATATATTAGATCTACTATATTCTAGCTAAATAAAAGCTACTATAACTTAGATCTATAGATAGTAAATTATTACTTATTTAAATAACCTTATTCTCTATGTACTATAACTCTAAGGTAGTTAATAGACTTATTAATAGTAAATACTTAGAATAGGTATTTATTAGTAAGAATCTTATTATAAAACTTTACCTAGAAATAAGGCTAATACTAGTACTATAAATACTTCTTCTAGTAAATAGTAAAATAGAGAACTAAGTTACTAATAGTAACTAGTAACTACTATAAATACTATCTATTCTTTATTACTACTCTAGTCTAGAAAACTTCTATTATTCTTAGCTTACTATAGCTAAGGCGTTATAATCTAAGTATAAACTAGATAGAAATAACGTTAATCTTTAACTTATAGTATTACTAATACTACTATTACTTTATAGGTCTTTTCTTACTACTCTAGATTTCTATAGTTCTAGACCTCTTATAAGCCTTCTATAACCTCTCTATACTAGATAAATCTAAATATTCTAACTATAAACTACTTATATATAAAAAAGTTACTAAATATAACTAACTATAAAAGAGTTTACTAATTACTATTAAAGTAAGTTTAATCTTTAGCTATCTCTACTATTATACGTATAATACTAATATAGAAAAAGATATTATACCTAAATACTATACTTTTATAATTCTAAACTAACTATAAGAAAAACTACTATAAAAGCTACTACTTCTACTATTAAGTATTCTACTTCTCTATACTATCTAGTAGTAGAATAAGTAGCCTAATCTAGAAGATATCTAACTAGCGTCTACTATAATCTTTCTCTAATTCTACTAAAACTCTAGTATAAGAGCTATAAAGATTATCTAGAAAGAGCTTAACTATATAGAAATATAAAAACTCTTTAGAGAAATATATAAGCTTTTTACTAAAAGTAAAACTCTACTATATATAAAAGGTATTACTAATATAAATATTAATAAATTTATAAAAGAAAAACTAAATCTACTAAAAAAGAACCTTATTAAGATACTACTATTATAGTTAGTAGATCTATATAAAGAATTTCTACCTAGTAAAGTAAATAAATTACTACTATAGTAAGTCTAGAACTATAAAATTAAACTTATACTAGAAAAGAAGCTACTATACTAGAAAAATAGACTTTTCTTCTTACTAGAACTATAAGTTATTAGAAAATAGCTTAATAATAACCTAGATAAGAAATTTATCTAAGAATTCTAAATATACTATATAGTACTACTATTACTTATAGTAAAACTAGAAGAAGAAATTTATATCTATTAAGACTACTAAAACCTTAATAATATTACTATTAAGAACTAATATTTACTATCTCTTATATATAAAACTCTAGATATATTATATAATACTAAAATCTATATAAAACTAGATATTATTACTATATTTAATAAACTTTATATTATAGAGAGCTATAAGTAGAAAACTATCTTTATTATTTAATTTAGACTTTATAAGTTACTTATTATACTATTTAGACTATATAATACTTTAGCTTTCTTCTAGAACTATATTAATTATATGCTATATAACCTACTAGACTAAATATATACTATTTATTTTAATAATATTCTAATCTATTTAGCTAATTATAAAAAATATAAGAGCTATATCTAAAAAATAGTCTAATAATTAATTAATATAGGTTTATAAATTAATATCTATAAATATAAGTTTAAAACTATAGAAATAAAGTATCTAGACCTAATAGTCTTCTTAGAAAGTATTAAGATAAATCTAGCTAAGGTTTAAACTATTAAAGATTAGTTACTACTTTTATATCTTTAAGATTTATAAAAGTTTCTAGAGTTTACTAACTTTTATAAATACTTTATCTAGAACTTTTCTAAGATTACTAGTCTACTAAATAAGTTTATAAGAAAAGACTTACTATAGTACTAGAGTAATAATTAGTAAAATATATTTTAAAATCTAAAGTTAGCTTTTACTATAGTTTTAGTACTAGCTATATTTAATTATACTAGGCGTATTATTCTAGAAACTAACGTTTCTAACTAGACTTTTAGTAGAGTTCTTTTATAATATAATAAAGAAGGTATTCTACGTTTTATTACTTATTTTTCTAGTAAATATACTACGCTAGAATATAACTATAAAATCTATAATAAGAAGCTTCGTACTATTATTAAGGCGCTTAAAGAATAGAGACTAGAGCTATAAGATATTATAGAACTATTTAAGATTATTATAGACTATAAGAATCTAGAATACTTTATCTTAACTAAAACTCTAAGCTAGTGTTAAGTTTAGTAGTTAGAATTTCTTTTATAGTTTAACTTCTAGATTATATACTAACTAGACTTAAAAACTATTTACTCTAATATACTAAGCTAGAAACCTAGAGAATATCTAGCTAAAATAGATATAAATAATAATTATATTAAGAATAAATAGCGTATTATACTACTTCTAGAATAATTTAACCTAGTTATACTAGTAGACCTTCTTAAGAAGGTCTAGAATACCTAGAATCTATATACTACTCTAATTAATATTATTCTACTAGCTATAGCTAAGTC